CAGAGAGTGATTTAGGATCGCAGAACGTCTTAAATCATTCTCCGTCTCTATTGACTACTTTGACTATCGTTTTCGAAACTTACGTTTCTACAAACTCTGTCAAAGTGGGGGTTTCTGTAGACACCTAAAAATGTCTACCCAAAACTAAACCCGATGATAAACAACCTTTCACTACCATTATTAATTGGGTTGAGTATTTAATCTTTAGAGTGCTTAAATCCATATTCCATCCAATACATTTCATAAATCAATCGAATTCTTAGCCCATTTCTCAAACCATAACTTATTCTCCTCTTTTCGTGTCCACATCACAAAACCGAGCTAAACTGATATCGTGGCCTTATAATTTTTATCCAAATATAATATAATTGGATAGGCCTTTAAATAAGCTTTCTAACGATATATCATAAGCCCAATTTGAGCAAAACACTAAACTCAGCCCAAAACCGACACCCTTGCACTAAAATGGCCATATCTTAAAATCTACAAAATATTTTCACCTTATTTTAATTGGGTTGGAAATTAAACTTGAATATCTTTCCAACGATATATTATATGCCTTATTCTGAGTTATGGATCAAAAGTTATCAGAGTTTTAAAAACACATAAAAATTAGAAATTACCGCGCCATGGTAAAAATACCGTGACACGGCAGACAATGCAGCGTCACGGTAATTTATGCCATGAATCTGCAATTTCTAGGGTTTATTTCTTCGTGGCGCTTCAATTCTAGGGTTTCGTACCTCACCCCTCGCATTTTCTCTATAAATACGAGGCTATTTTCACTAGTTTTGGGCACCAAATAATTCTCTCTTCCTCTCTTATGCACCAACACACATTCTAATCTCTCTCTCACATTCTAAGACTTAAACCTATTCTCCTAATTACACTATTCCTTCCCTAAGCACTCCAAGGAGTCCATACAACACCCGAAGTTCCATACTTAAACCAAGATGAAAGGTAGAACCAATTGAGGGTTTTGACCAAATCAACTCTATTTTCCTTTAATCTTATTTCAATTTGAATTATTATTCTTTGAAGTTACTAACGTTTTAATTCATGATATAGCAATTTAAAGAAGCGTGGAACGTGAGTAATTAATTCACTTAATTACTCTTATTATTATTATTCTTATTGCTAGTATCATGATTAGGTTTATTATTATGCTTTGATTTGACTAACGTTATTATGGTTAAATTGCATCCAATATTATTGTTTATTCTATTATATTTATTGACCACCATATTGCATGTTTAATGGGAATATGTAATTGAATATAACTCCTAATAAAATAATTTGGACGACCGGTTTAGGTTCCTTTTCAATCTTGCTGTTTAATAAAGCAATCACTAATATTTTAGAATTATGTGTGCATTAATATTCAACTAATTTAGCCTAATTTAGTTAGGATCAAATTGAATCTTTGTTTGTATGCCTTTGAGATTGCAGGAAATACTTTTCGCAATAAGAATTGAGTAGAGGCCAATATGGGCGAATGTGACTGCATGACTCACTTCGTACCATCAGCCCCGATTCTCCTTTCGTGGTTCCGAACCATATGGAGTTAATAATCTCATGGATTATGAATGGGGTGTAACCTTCACGAGGTAATCGTTTTTTCCTTCCGTTGTCCCTAATTGTGGTTGCCTCATAATGATCCATGAACGGTTTACAAGTTCCTTAAAAACTTGTTGGCGGCTCCCTACTTTGCTTTGTCCCTAATCGTGTCCCTAATCGTATGTAGATTCCCACTTCCTATGAGTGTCAGGCATATTAACGACATGCTTAAGTAGAGGCGCTTCAAATGACGCCTAAAGGATGGGCAAAACTAAGAGTAGCTTTTGAAATCCAATTTGTAAGTCGTTAATTAGACATGGTTTGTAATTCGTTAATTAGAAATTTAGACTTGGTTTGTAATCCGTTAAGTAGATTTATTAGACTATTTTGTTTGAGATTGAATTGTTGTTTTTCTTAAGAAATTTAAAAAGCAATTGAATGAACAAAATCAGGTTGGTCGGGTAGACCCAACCTGAATATAGCAACCTAATTTATACCCAAAAAAAAAGTTTTGGGTCAAATCAAGTCATTTTCGGGTTGACTCGAACCCAAAAATATCAAGTTCAGGTTGAGTTTTTCAGCCCGAAAACTTAAATGGATCAAGTTCGGGTTAAGGGTCAGCTGACACGAACACGAACCCGACCCGACCTGATTTGTTTGACACCCTTAGTCGATTGCCACTTTAATGAGATAGTCTTCCCAACCTTAGGGGGAGATAAAGAGAGCCCATGTTGGAAAGATATATCATGAAATGCCCATAATTTATCATACCTTGACCCAAGGTTAAATGTGCGGAATAAGAAGTGCAAAAAATAATACATTTGCAAAACATCGCAAATCAATTGCCAGGCGCATTCACTGATACAAAAGGAGTGACAAAATTCACACATACCAGCAGTGAATGCTCCTACTAGGGTTGAAATCCAAGCAAAGAAAATGAATAATCCACTTTCAGATAAATCTACAGCACGTAAAAGATGTGGTAGACCCCTCGGAACTAAAGGTCTAAAGTCGAGAAAATCTAAAAGAGTGGAAATGAGGAATAAAAAGGGTCAAAACTCCTTAAATAAAGTGGATCAAATCGAAAATGATGAAAATATCATCAACCCCCAATTTGAACCTAAAGAGTCAGATGGTACATCTGAAAGGAAGCGTGAAAACGAATTGTCAACAATCATGAAATTTCAATCAATTATATCCCCACTAGAAAACAGTGGGATAGAGTTAAAACTTCTGTCAATGATATATTTTCATACTCAATTGCCACATAAATCATCACTAATGTTAAGGACACCGAGCCATCATCAATAGATGAATGTCGACGAAGGATAGATTGGCCAAAATGGAAAGAAGCCATTCAAGTTGAATTAAAATCCCTCGCAAAACGCGAAGTTTTGCAAACCAGACTCCAAAAGGAGTGAAACCCATTAGGTATAGATGGGTGTTCATACGAAAAAGAAATGAAAAGGACGAAATTGTAAGATATAAGGCTCGACTTGTAGCCCAAGTTTTCTCTTAGAGACTGGGAATCGACTATGAAGAAACATATTCACTTGTGGTAGATGCCCCAACACTAAGGTTCATCATAAGTCTATTAGCATGCAAAGGACTACAAATGCGTTTAATGGATGTTGTGACTACATACCTTAATGGGTCACTTGATACTGACATCTATATGAGAGTCCCTGGAGAACTTGAACTACCTGAACCTTTGAGGTCAAAACCTCGAAAGCTACATTCCATAAAATTGAAAAAAAATCATTCTACGGTTAAAGCAATCCGGGAGGATGTGGTTTAACCGTTTAAGTGAATACCTTCTCAAATGAGGGTATAAGAACGACCAAATTTGTCCATGTGTCTTCATCAAAAGGACCGAAAATGGTTTTGTTATAATAGCAGTGTATGTTGATGATTTAAATATCATTGGGACACCTAACGAAATCGAAGAAACCGCTAAATGTATGATGAAAGAATTTAAAATGAAAGACCTTGGAAGAACAAAAATTTGTCTCGGATTACAAAATGAACATCTAAGAGATGGTATCTTAATTCATCAATCCAATTATGCCAAGAAGGTATTAAAAAGGTTCTTCATGGACAAAGCACACCCATTGAGTTCACCAATAATTGTTTCGTCCTCTAAACATCAAAGGTGATCCATTTCGACCCCGAGAAGAAGGTGAAGATGTACTTGCTCTAGTGGTGCCATACCTAAGTGCAATAGGAGCTTTGATGTACCCGGCCATTAACACTAGGCCAGACATTGCATTCTCGGTGAACTTGTTGGCAAGGTATAGCTCTAAACCTACAAAACAAACACTGAAATGGAGTGAAACATCTACTTCGCTATATACGCTAAACAATCGATTTAGGCCATGCTCTTCTATCCAAGAAATGGAAATCCTGCTCTCGTGGGATATGCTGATGCAGGCGACCTATCAAATCTAGTAAAATCAAAATCACAAACAGGTTATCTTTTTAGCTATGGCAATACATCGATCTCTTGGAAGTTAACCAAGCACACACTAACAGGGACTTCATCAAACCAAGCTGAATTGATTGCCCTTTATGAAGCTCGGAATTCATATGATTGCGATTGTTAACCCAACATGTACTCAAAGAGAGAAACATCAAAACAACCGAAGAAAGCCCAACTACAATATTCGAAAACAACCCTGATTGCAGTACACAAATTAAAGGAGGCTATATCAAAGGTGATAGAACGAAACACATCGACCCCAAGTTTCCGCTACTCATGATTTGGAAAAAGAAGGAAAGGTCGATGTCAAGCAGAACAAGTCATGTAACAACTTAGTTAATCTGTTTACAAAGGCATCACCACCTAGCAAATTTCAAGAACCCGTGCGTATAACCGGCATGCATCATCTTTGTTATCTGTGTTAAATTGAGGGGGAGCCTTATATGTGTTGTACTCTTTTTCCTTCGTCCAAATTTTTTTCCTGCTGGGTTTTTCTTAGCAAGGTTTTGATGTGGCAGATAAATATATAGGTACAATAGCGGTAATATTTATTTTACCTAAATGTAAATTTTTTCTTAGGAGTCATCTTATAGAAATCCGTTCAAGAGAGTATTGTAATGCGCATCGTATGCATAATATGAAGGTTTAAGAATACCGCCAAATATCACCGCTAAGCTTCCATGCAAGAGTAAATATTACCGCTCAAAACCTCATGCTCGATTAGACATTTCACTGCATGTTTAATATAGCAAGCAAATACTATTCATGCAGGAATACTATAAATCCCCGCATAATCTGTAGAAATTATACACAACAATTATCAAAGTACCTAAAATCTTTCTTTGATTTTTTTGAAAAAGGAAAACAATATACTAATAATTCTCGATTGTGATGAAAAGTAAAAAGGTTAACGGGATCAAAAGCAAAACAGAGCGCCGCATAAAGGTTGCCGACTCGCTGAGTGACGGCAATTAAGCAACAAACGTTGACCTATTAAAAAATATGCTGACTATGTCCTAATTTCAGACATTTTTGTAACCAAAAAATGTTAATTACATTAGGTCTATCTTTAAAAGAATTTTAGCTTTTAAACTACTCAGTTTAAGGTCAAGCAAGCAGTCTATCCAAAAACTATCACAGGTTACCTGTACACATATGAAAACTATGTGCAAAAGCAAACACATTTATATCCTAAACTCTCCATTTTTGTACATAAACGACGTGTTAAAAAATAAGGGCCGTCCTTTAGACAGTTTCTCTACTGCATCATCATTTTCGCTGTGCAAAAGCAAACATCACATCCACCAGCACACTAACAAGCTGTCCGTCCGTCATACATGGTAAACCATTCCTACTTCGATCAGTGATGTGTGCGGAATCCCAAGAGCCACTGCTGGTCTTCGACAGTTCTGCCTCAGGAATCTGTATACAATGTTAATGGCTATTTTCTTAAAGAATGATGATTCCTCTCTTGCTACAACACAAGTATTGCCTATCATGTAAGCTACTCCAGATTGTCTAGCCTCCATAAGCTTCTTGACATTGACATTTGGGCCACTCGGCTCTACTTCTCTAAACCTTACTCTTCTCCTGCCAACAGTAACAGCCCCACCCTCTGGAGCAGCATCCGTATCAGCAACGTTGTTTGGAGATGTCAGTGTTTCCCTATCATGGGGTCCATGTTGTAGGAACTCTGCTACCTCGTCAATTAGCTTAGACTCAAAGTCATAAGAGTCTCTAGTATCCTTGTATCCATACCTGAATGTAAATCAATTAATTATTTCTTTTGTCAAGCTTCGTACTTACTCTACTATAAACTCTTACTCTAGTATATACTCATGTCATACAGAAAATGAAACGGGAAATATAACATACCTCACAGTGCAACGAAATATATGGAGTTCTGGAGGACCAACCCGACCAATCACAAGACGCTCATTAACAGGAACTCTGGGGATTAGTAATATTTCGATTGTCACGAAAATGAGGACTTGATGAAAAGCAGGGAAGTTTGCAACAAAATGAGAAAACATCGGTGGGACCCCAGAGGTGACATTAGAGTATATCAAACCAATTCCAGGAACCCTGAGAACACCAAGGCTTGGACCAAGAGTCAAAAATCTGTCCAAGCCCACCTTATTTTGATGCTCGAACGCCTGTTTCTTCATAGTACCATACTTCCATAGTGACATCAAACACAATATTACAAGAGAAGAAACCAAAGGGACCCAGCCTCCTTGATGTATCTTGATCAGACAAGCTGACATATATGAGAGCTCAATTGATCCGAAGAACAGCACAAAAAAGAGAGCCACAAGGACATGTTTTTTCCACACAGTCACTATAATGAGAAACATTAAGCATGTTGTTACAAACATTACAGTGATCACCGCCAGACCTGCATAAAATGATATCAATATCCTTAGAACAGCAGAAAACCTCTGAACCTGAATAATTCTTGATTTTCAAAGACTAGCAACAATTAATCTGGATATTGTCTGGTAGAGGATACCAATTAGTACATTGATATCTCTCATTGAAAACATTCTGGAAATTTTTTGGCATTTAAGTAAAAATAGAAGATGGACTAGTAAGCAGTAATATATATTTTCAAGAAACAGAAAAAGAGGGATGAGGTGGTACCATAAGCATTGCCTATTTTATCTGTATCCCTAAAGCCCAAGACAACAGCCAGACAAAGCACCATCAATATCCAATTGGCCTCTGGTATGTAGATCCGGCCATATATGTCGTCAGATGTATGCACCATTCTGACACGTGGAAAACACTTTAAGGCCCGACACTGACTTATGATGGAGAATGTCGCAGATATAATTGCTTGACTGGCAACAACAGTAGCAAGCGTAGCGATCACAAAAAAGGGCCAAAAAATGGACTCTGAACACAGCAAGCAAACAGAAGTAACATCAAATTACAGAAAACAGTCATTAAGAGATAATCTTATAAACTCTACTATATTTACCAGCAAAAGAACAAGATAGTACAGAAAAGCAGCCTCAACAATGCAAAAAAAAAAAAAAAAAAAAAAAAAAAAAAAAAAAAAAAAACTCATTTATTGTTGACTCTTGTTAAATATTTTCTTTTAAAGCGTGTCGTAGCGCGCTATTAACAGGATTACAGGACTAATTCATAAAGATACATAAATAATAGAAAGAAAAGGAAAATGGTAGTTACCCAGATAAACTCATCGTTCAAAAAGCAAATCATTCAGCACACTAATTTGCTGATCATTAAACTAAAAACACCTATTTGCCCAAATAAACATACCAGGTATTGCCTTGTAAAAACTACTCTGAAGATCTTCTCTGTGCTTAGAAAGATAAGCAGCTTCACCCATATATGCAAGAACTAAACAAGGATAGACAAATCCGGAAAATGCAATCTGCCATTGTAACACATAAAAGTTACTGTTATGGAAATGCTGAAAAATGAAGACTACCCTTCTCACGTATAGAGCATTATGCAAATGGCATAATTCAGTGCGTGAGAGAATGTTAATTACAGATTATATAAAATTACCCTCAAAGAGAGCTGAGAGAAGTGGCCAAGATCGGCAAACATTGCTTCTGCACCTGGTAAAAACCACAGTAAAGAATATGAAAACCCAGTCTAGCATACAACTCATTTTCCATATACAATTTAACAGGAACATTTTAGTTCAGTAGTACCTGTAATACATAAGACAACACCCCCAAGTGAACTCCATCCCACTTTTCCTGTTACTTTGAAAAATTTGTAGACATAATATGGTGAAACTGCACGAATGACCCCAGGATTCCAGTGAATTATATTGTATAACCCTACTCCACCAACACAGAGGAGCCAAGCTACAAGAATAGGAGCAAAAAGAAAGCCAACTTTGCTAGTCCCACAATGCTGAAGAGAAAAAATTCCCATCAAGATTATGCAGGTCACACCAAGAGTAAGATCTGAATCATAAAAATAAAAATGAAGCAATTCAGAATGCTGTACATCAAATGTTGCCAACAACTCAGTGTCTTAAAATTACAATAAATTAGTGATGCGAAAGATAGAACTCTTAAGAAGATTGAACTCTACAACTCATGAAATTTCAATTTCTACATAACACATGTATACATCTACTATGTAATTTAATCTCAAGTGGCCTAAGAACGAGGCATTGAGTTAAAAACTCAAAAATCATAGAAATACACGTATACTTACATTCATTTAAATGAGGAATCTTAACTTTTAGGCCAGAGACTGCAGATAGGACTGCAAAACAACAGAAGACATTGCAAATCATTCAATCATGAGTTGGCGAAAAACTCACAGATCCTTAAGCCTCTACGACATACCAGACATTGTTGGAGTGAAAATCCCATCCCCAATCACCATGCTAGTCCCTAGAAGAACCACTAGAAAGAGGATAAGACGGGAGTAATAATGCTTCTCAAAAAATTCTTTAAGGGCCAGACTACTCCTGCTTTCCTTGCCAGAAGTCGCAGCTTCATAAGATGGGTGTGCATACTTCATTTGAGACGGACAAAAAAAGCCCATTTTAGAAGATCGGCAAAGAAGCGAATACAAGGCAAATGTTCCGCCTGCAAAGAATCAAAATGATTATATGCAGGAAATAGATGTCACTAGGCAATAATAAGCTAACAACTTACATAGGTAATATATTTTTAGCACCTTCTCCATTGTCATCAGCTGATAAAACAAAAACGATGTACTTGCAAAGAGGGACCAGAGTCAGTGTCCAGAAAACCATAGAGAGAATGCCAAAGATTTCAAGGTCTTCCTCATACAACCGCAATTTCCCAGAGAATGTACTCTTGTAGACATATATAGGAGATGTGCTTAGATCACCATAGACAATCCCCAAACTCTGGTAGGCAAGACAAAACGTCTTCTGGTACATCTCCTGTAACCAACACAAAAAAAATTTGATTGACCATTTAAAGACAAAATTCAAAACAGGGAGGTGATTGACCATTTATATCACTTGGAACGGTGGACATTGTGGCGCGAACCATTACATGGACTTGCCCGATGATTTGTACCCAATTGCAAATTTTTGGGATTAGCTTTAAGCAATTTCCTACATTTTTTTTTTTTGATTAACATTATGGCATAAGCATAAAAAGGTCCGCATTGGAAAGATCATCCGAAATGCATCAAAACATAGGATTTTTTACACATAGGAAAAGCTGGAAATATCTTTCACAACTAGAATCGAAAAGATACTGCGCGTGTGTGTGTGAGGTATAGTCAACAACCCACCTCCCATCTCAAATTTCAGCACCAATGAAAAGCTATGGACTAAAAAATGAGGAATAAAGAGTAAAACCATGCCAACATGTTAATTGAACTAAAAGGAACCAAACAGCCAAGATTGACCTAGAGATAAGAATATAGCACATAGGTAAAGGCTACAAAAAGAAAAACCAACCTTTCTTTTCTTTCTACTGAGTAATGACCTTATCTATTAATCCAACTAACCGCGATTATTTAATCAAATACTCGTGCAATCTTCTATATATTGAGGAACAAACATCCAATTGTTGGACAAGTAGTAAGACTACGATTCCAGTTCTTAAGTCACAACTGTAGTCAACACGAAAAACATCCTATTTTAGAAAGACGAAAGTAATGGTATAATACGACCTATGGAGCATGAATAGTATAAGCAAGTAACTATATATGAACAAGTGAAATTGTAAACTTCCACCACTACTATGATGGAGGTAAACTCCTCGCATCCACATTTACCTATTGCTCATCTCATACAAGGTCGTCAATTAAGCATATGATAACGATTTGCACATAATTTTACATTAAAAATCCCCACATGAATGTCCGTGGTAAGCACATCGGCAGAACCAGTATCAAATACGTAATTTTCTTCATTAATTCCATCAAACACTCATACCCACATGACCACACGGCAACACCTCTAAGCAAATAAAAGTAAGAAGTAACATCTGACAATGTAATTGAGTTACATATAATATGCAAATGACAAGATTAATACGAATTCGTGAAAAAAGTCACTATCGTATTACTTAATCTACGGCCTCGTAGCTTTAAATAAAAAGAATGATCCATTTCAAAATTGTATACCCAATATCAGTCGCGTACACTCAATCTGTAATACTTGGAGCTATTGATGAAACTACTACATTACAGAAGTATACCATCATTTATTCATTTTCTATAATTGGCATATAAACACGTTTGCAATTAAACGTTTCTATCAATAATTCCGTGACAAAAAAGGCTTAATTTCTCAATCTTGCACCTAAATTATCCACTTTATTTCTAACAAACTTGCAAACACCATCAATTCAATTCAAATTTTAATTTCAGAAAATTAACAATGCAAGCATCAAACATTTAAATAAAATCATACCCACATCTAAAATAGAGAAATGTACTAAAAGATTACTCAAAAACACTAGATAAGTTCATAACTTTTGTACTAAACACTTGAAATTATTATATTTATAAATATAATAATAACCCCAAATCCAATCCCAAACAAAATAATTAAAAAAAAAAAATTAAACAAACTTACAAGTCGAGATTGATGAGTTGATAATTCCATTGTACTTCCAACTCCAACGAAAACCTCAGAAATTATGATCCTACTGAATTAAAAATAAAAATTAAAAATTAAAAACCAGCGAAAATTTTAGAGTGATGAACTGTAGTATATAGAAAGGAAGAAATAGTACGGAATAGTACAGGCTGTAAATGAAAATGTAGGAAGAAAATTCAAAGGAAGTAAATATAAAGAAGAAGATTATTCTTTCCAAAAATGAAAAGATTCTTTTCAAAGAAATATGATAGATCTTTGAAACGTTTTAAGTCAAAAACTCCAGCAGTTTATTTTTCATTTTTTTCAAGAACAAAAATTAAGAGAGAGAAAATATTGGGAAAGGGAGTTGAAAGTGAGGGGGAAGTTTCAAAACAAATTATAAACAAGAGATAGGGATACTCTTGGGAGTTGGGGCTGATCCAATTCAGTAGGAAAGTCAAGTGAGAGTTGAATTTTTGTTTGTGAGAAAGATGAGTTGGATTTTTGTGGAGAGGATATTCAGAAATGTGTCTTTTTCTTTAGTGATGTGGTTGTAAATAAATAATACAGATATAAATAAATAATACAAATACTAATATGTGTCATTTCAATAATGGTTTTGTGCAAAATGTTAAAATTTGTTTTTATGATACAGGGAAAGAATAAAAAAAAGTTAGGGGTACTTGTTTTTATTACGCCCTTGATTTTGTCTCGTTAAGGCGTATATGCTTAGATTGAAAATAATGTATTAGTAATAAAATTTAAATAAAGAAAATGAAAGTGAATATAGGAAAGCCCAAAAAAAAAAAAAAAAAAAAAAGAACAAAGGAAAAATTGCATTTATTAATCCCAACTTTGCACAATTTCATTTTATTAATCCCAACTTTGGATTATTCTGCAATAATCCGAACTTTGATATGGGCTTTCATTCATCATACCAAACCGGTTTGTTAACCTGTTGTACCAGGTTACTGTCCTACGTGGCAAGAGTTGTTACTTTAATTAATTTTTTTTCTTTTTTCCGTTTTTTTTAAACTCCTATATTTTTCTTCTTTCTCACCCTCTGTTATTTTCGTGTTTCTTCTCTGGTTTCCTCTGATTCCAGCATTCTCTCCTGTTCTTCTTCTCTCATAGTTCACCATTAGCAATGGCTGGAGGTAGAAGTATACCAGTTTCTTCCTCTGGGTCTTCTTCAAACTTGCGAGGAGGTTTGTACAACACGACAAAATGCACTTGTGGTTTGGACGCCGTTGTGCGAACTGTGAAGAGGGGGCATAACATTGGATCCAGATTTTATGGATGCCCAAAATGGCCGGTAATGGTTAACCTATAGTTATTTAAGGTTTAATTACTCGTAATTAGTCGAAATTCATTTTATCTGTTAGGCAAAATTAAATCCCAATTGTAATTAGGGTTTGGAATTGAGTAAAAAGTTTATTTTTTCTTACAGGATACCAATTGCAATTTTATGAAGTGGGTTGACTGTACTAATGGGGATGATCTGCGATTAGAAATATTTGAAAGGGACACTACAATTGCTGAATTAGAGATGCAGAACAAATTTCTTGAAGACAGCTTGAAGATAATGCAAGGACAACGGGAAAAAATGGAGGTGGTGCAGCAACTGAAAGAAGAGCTATGTGACATGAGGACTGAGCTCATGAAATGTTCAAGGAATGAGACTAATTTGTTTATGGCCCTTTTATTTTCCTGGGTTTTTTTTGCCATAATGGTGTTGTACTTAAAGTAAGATTTATGGTGTGTACCTTTTGAAATGAAATGAAATGAAGTATGGTTTTTTCCTGAACAAAATTATTGTAATTTTCTTTTGCGCATAAACAAATAATCATGCAAAGTCATTGGCAAAATAGGTACATTATGTACTAACCCAACTATAAGTTCACAAATCCAAAATACCAGGGCTACAGCAAATAGTGTCATACACAAAAGGAAATTCTTGCCTAATTCTAAAGTGAAACAATATCCACTTCAACCTAGTAGTAATTAGGCTGGAACTACTATACAAAAGTAGTTTGCTAACTAAACTGTCTTTGACATGAAATGCTTTTTACTTAGATGGCTGATGGAGGGTTGATTGCTGACTTGGGATTATGAAATTCACTCTTTGGTCATGGCTTGGCCTGGGTGTCTGTCCTCCTCTCCTGTTGGATTGGCCACGCACCTATCACATGAATAAGTAGGAGACATCAGAGGGTAGGAGTGAGATGCAGTGAAGGGGTAGGAGTGAGATGCAGTTGAAAAAAAAAAGAATAGCTGAATGAAACAACAGAGATAACAAAACCAATTTGCAATTATTTAAACACATACATTGGGTTGTATACTCCCATCCTCAGCAATGTACATACCCACTCCCCTTGGAATTCTCTGTTTTTCCCTACCACCACTGTACCTACCACCTCTTCCTCTCCCAGCAGAGCTCTGAGCTTGTTCTCTTCCGCCAAAAGAAGCTGCAGATGTAGCAGAACTCTGAGCACCTCCTCTTGATCCTAACCCTCCTCTTATAGCTCTGCCACCTCTCCCAAGTTGTGCAGGCTGGGCAGTGCATGAATGGTGTGGAGCTGATGCAGAAATTGTGAGCTGAGTTTGAGGGTTTTCAGGCACATTGCTATAAGGTGGTTGGCCATCTTTTCTAGGCCTGCCCCTAGGCCTTTTTGTAGGTGGTTCAGGAGGGGGTGGTATTGTATCCCTGTTAGGACATCTTCTTTTGTTGTGTCCCTTGTGTTTGCACAAGGAACAAGTCATCTCAACACCAGTCTTAGTCAAACACCCAGGTTTTTTAGGGTTCTCAGAAGGGTCCCTAATTCTATTTTTCCTTGGCCTCCCTGGACCAATTTTAATTGGTGGTGGGTCCAAGGAACATTGCACTTTTGGCCAAAACCTCTCACCTTCAAGGGGTGGAATTGAACCTGTCCTAGTCAATTTATTCAAGCACATCAGGTAAACTAGTAGTATAAGTTGTTAAATTAGTGTCACATAGGAGAAAAGTTAGTGTATACCTGCATAAGCCTGTAGATATGCTTCCCTTGTGTAACACCTGTCCACATAGTCTTCTGCTTCTTTGTTCATAAAGAAGATGCAAGCAACTGCATGGCAGCAGGAAATGCCAACCATTTCCCACTTCCTACAGCTGCAAGTTTTTTCTTGAAAATTCACAACTAGCTGGTCCAGGTCATTGGTGACATTGAATAATTGGTCTGTGGAAGGCTGCACATCACAGTATGAAGCCTTGTGTTTCTCCTTCTCCAACTTTGCCTGAATTCTTAGGCACAGAACACCTGACCATTTCTCCATCTCTTGCCTTTTTTTGAGTAGCCTCTGCATCAAGCATGTTCTGATATCTTCTAACATGTACAACAGGTGCTTTGTTCTTGCATTTATTATATAGCCATTGAAAGTTTCTGCAATATTGCTGGTTATTGCATCAGTTTTCATTGAAGTACTCAAGAAAGCTCTGCAAAATAGGCTAGGATTATAGCCTTTGAATGCCTCAGCTGCTTCACAATTGATCACGGTGAGCTCGTTCAATGCATCATCAAAATCTGCCTTGTTGTAACACTTAACAATCTTCCAGAATTGCAACTTCAGCTCATCTCCTCTATATGTCTTGTGCCAGTTGGCAAATATATGTCTGGCACAATGCCTGTGTTCTGCTTGGGGCAGAACAGAGGACACAGCATTGACAATAGCCTAACATCAAAGCAAGTGCAATATTTAGGAAGCTGCAAAAATTATTTGAAAACAGATTTGTGCTTAGAGTGAATAAAATGATTTGTGCTCATACCTGGTGCTCATCAGACAAGACTGCAACACCTTCACCATCTCCCAACTTCAACACTTTCTGTAGATGCACAAAAAACCATTCCAAACTCAGATTATTCTCACCCTCAACAAAAGCCCATGCCACTGGGAACATTTGGTCATTGGCATCCCTTCCAACAGCACAAAGCAATTGACCACCTAGAAAAGTCTTCAAAAAGCTTGCATCAACAGCCAACACTTCCTACAACCATCTTTCCATCCCTTGGACAACCCCTCAAAGCACATGAAAAATCTTTGAAACACATGTGGACCCTTCTTCTGTTGCACAATCACTAGCTCACATGTACTGCCAGGGCTTTTTGTCTGCAATGATGCAAGATAAGCTCCCACTTTTTGGTAGTGGTCATGCATTGAACCATGTAGGAGAGTGTGGGCAGCATATTTCACTCTATATGCAAACATCCTATTCACAATGACCTTGAAAGCTCTTTTAATGCAGTCCACTATTTCCTTTGCAGGCCAATGTGGTCTGTTTTTGAAGACTTCAAGGAATTGTTTTGCAACCCAGGTAGCTTTCAACTGCCTGTTCTTCCTCATGTTCCTCTAGCAGGTATGCTCTCCACTCACCTTCTTCACAATCAAGGCTGCCTTTCTTGAATGCCAAGATGCATAAACATAGAAATTACACCCTTCACTGCATCTCACTCCTACCCTCTAATGTCTCCTCTTATCCCCAACAGAAAAAAATAAGTTTTTACCTTGTAACACAGCATATTTGGCAACTGCCTCCTTGAAATCTTCCCTTTTGGCAAATCTTAAACCCACTTTCCACTTGAATTGACTGAAATCTGTATTTGGGCTTACAAGCAGTGTAGATCTTCTCTTCCTCACACCATCACCTCCCTCATCTTCACTCCCAGATGGTGTATACACCTCCTCATCAGATTCCTCATATTCACTGAAATTTTCTACTTCAGTCACTGGATCTTGGACACTTAGATTTGCAGTACCAACTTCGTGTATAACTTTAGAAGCAGCCTGAATTAACTGTGTACTACAAGCTTTAACCCTCTCCCTAGCTGTGTTGTACTCCTCATCACTCATATCAGAATCACTCTGTAATGTCTCATTGAAAATTGCATCTTCATATTCTTTCTCAACCTCTAGATCTATCTGCTCCAACCCCACATCTAATTCTTCTTCATCTCCAGGAACAGGTTTCTCTACATCATAGTTGTCCTCATCACTATCCTCATCAGTGTACACATCACCATACACCCTCCTCTCAGTAGCTACTGCAACTCCCTTCCCTTTATCAGTCTTAGGATCATAGTTGTCCTCATCACTATCCTCATCAGTGTACACATCACCAAACACCCTCCTCTCACTATCTACTGCAACTCCCTTCCCTTTATCAGTCTTAGGGTCATAAGCAGGGTCTGTGTCCTCACTAGTTTCAGTGTCACCACCACCTACTAACTCATGTAAGGGAACTGGAGACTCAGGTCTGTCATCAACCCAATTGTAATCTTCATATACAGGAGGTTGTGTTTGGTATGAATGTTGTGAAAGAAGGTTCCCTAAACCTAGATCTGGTTTAGAAGCACTGGAAGGAGGGAGCTGGGCTGACTTAGAGACAAATTTAACTTTAGGTGAGCTGGAAACTGTTTTTTTAAATGTGGGATTACCTTAACCTATTAAATGTGAGGGGATGGGAGCTTTTCCTTTTGGACTTAGAGTCAAACTACCTTTAGGTGGTCCCCTTCTTTTTTTTTTTTTTTTTTTTTTTTTTTTCTGGTACTTAGAGGAATCACAGTCATCAGATTCTTCTTCTTGGGGCAATAGTTGAAAATGTGTTTGGACATCAGTTGGGTCTGTGGGGTCCAGCTTTGGTAACTCAGCACCATGGTGTACATACATCTCTACAACTCTGTATTTAGCACCTAATTTTGTCACCTCCCTCACATCTTCATCACCATTAATCCTCCTCAAACCATTACTCATACTTAGTCCAGGAATCAAATATAACACAGCTTCAACATGTTTCCCACCACAACACTCAGTCCCCATCTGTACAATGTCCCACATACATAACTCATCTGGGTCAACCTACTTTGTTTTACCCTTCCCTCCCTCATACACTAATTCACCATCATACTTTAAAGTAAAAGCCCCAGAATGCCAAAACTTCAAGCTGATCTTGTTAAAATTAATATTCATGTTCAACCTACAATTCACTATCAAAATTCAATTTCGAAACAGTAGTACACTACTAACTACAGACAACGCAACATAAATCAACCATTATACCAACACAAAAACACAAACAGAAACATCAAAGAAACCCAAAAGAACCATCACAGATACACAAACAGAAACATCAAAGAAATCCTAACTCCAAGTTTTGATCTTTATGGCATTTTCGATTCATAAACATGAGTTCACATCACAGAAACCCTAATTCCAAGTTTGTTTTTTAGGGCATTTTCGGTTCATACACAACAATTCACACAACTATAAACCATTTTTGGTTGGCGAAATTACTTGACTAAATAAAAGAATTACCAAAAAGTTACGAATTTAGGGTTACCTCTACTTCCTTGTTGCGTCCCCTGCTTCGCATTCATCAACTGACCTGCTCCTTTTCTCAAATTAAAACCCTAGACAACACTTCGCCTTCCCGCTACAATTTTTCGGTTTCTCAAAGAAGTGCAATGGGTGTTAATTCGGGGGAAAAGTGAAAGTTGTAGAGGTGTTAATGGCGGGACTTTAATTTTGCCAGGAAGGAGTAGTTTGAAGGTGATGCTGACTGGACATGATTTTAGGAGGGAATTGGTGATCAAAGTCAATATTGATGTTTGTTGATTCAACATTTACTTCCGTAGCCGGTTTCCAGTTTTTGGGTTTGATGAATGAAAGCCCATATCAAAGTTCGGATTATTGCAGAATAATCCAAAGTTGGGATTAATAAAATGAAATTGTGCAAAGTTGGGATTAATAAATGCAATTTTTCCAAGAACAAAAAGAACAACATAGGAAATGATGAGATAGTGATGGTGTAATTAGCTTATATTGACAATTTAATAACTTATATTGACGATTTAATAACTTAGAGCAGCCTCGATGCTTGTAGGGAGGGAATGACTTGCAATTTTGGAAAGTCATTAGCTACTAGCTTTGACCAATAGAGATATAATATGAAATTTGCTTCAGAAAGATGGGAAGTTGGTATATTAATGATTAATTGATTTTTTAAATAGCTAGCTAGTAGCTAACCTAGAGGTGATTAATTCGAATTGGGCAGGATTTTAGCATCAAATCTCATGCCCAAACCCATGAATAAGTGGCAAGCTTATAATGCTTTTTTTGGACGGGGTTCGTGTTTTAAACTAATAATGTGTTTTTAAACCCGCACTTTTTTTCCAGTTGGACCATAGTTGTTACCTTTAAGCTAACCATTGGGACATAAGATTGCTGCAAATGATATCTATACTATCTCATGCCCAACCCCTGAATATGTGGCAGGCTTATAACACTTTTTTGGATCGGGTTCGTGTTTTTAACTAATAATGTGTTTTTAAACCCGCACTTTTTTTTCGGTTGGACCATAGTTAATTACCTTAAAGCTAACCATAGGGACATAAGATTGCTGCAAATGAAATCTATACTAATATATTAAAAGGCGTTCCTAAGAAAGTTTATGTGTCACGTAGACCCTTTCATTACGCCACATCATCCACCCAACTTCTTATTACGCCTATCACCCACTCAATGCCACATGGCTCTCCCTTCCATATGTTTCTCATTGCATGTCATGCACTTATAATAAAGAAAAAGTTCTCCACAAGGTTTGAACATGCAACCACTAATTTTAGAACTAAGGTTATTACCACCAAGCTATGTGATATTTTATGTTACCTTTTGATACAAAATATTAATATGTATAACAAATTTAATTACAAGAAAAATGTAATGACCCGGGGTATCATCCGGGCCCAAATACTAGTTAGCTTTTAGACTTGTGTGACATAGAGCTGTCAATTCGGGTATTCAAGTCGGGTTTGAGTTGGGTCAAATCAGGTCTCGGGTCAAATCAGGATCAAGTTATGTCGGGTTAATCTAGCAACAGATCAGTTTCAGATTCGGGTCGGGTCAATTTCGTTTCCGATTATTCCGGGTAGTTCACCCCTCGGGTGTAGGTCGGGTTCAATTCGAGTCAAATTCAGATCGGGCTCAATTTCAGGTTCGGGTTGTGTTGAGTCGGGTTTAAACGGGTTAATAGATGGTACATTTGGGTTCGGGTTAGGGTTGGGTTAGATAATTATTTGATCGGATAATCTTAAAGTTGGATCATCCTTGGTTTTAGTTCAAGTTCAATTCGAAAAAATATCGATGTGGTCAAGCTGAACCTATATAATTACGCCTTCCATAATTTGATTAAGAATTATCAAGATTTTATTAAACCTATAAGTAATATAGAACAAAAGGTATATAAGCTGAACAAATTGTACGAATATGTTGTTAAGGATTGAGGGTTACAGAATTGTACCAATATATAAACTGAACAAAAGGTATATAAAATTTTATTAAACCTTCCATGACTCGGGTCAATAGTAGGTTGTGTTGGGTTATAACCGTTTTCAGGTTCTAATTGGGTCGGGTAATAGTTCGAGTTTGGATTGTTGACTAGTTGGATTAAATCAGTTGACACTTACTATCAGGTCGGGTGCAGGTTCGGGTTCAGGTCATAAAGTATTGGATCAAATTGATTGTCGGTTAACATCAGGTTGGGTTATAGGTCACTAGTTTCACCCCATTATTCAGATACAGGTCAGGTTCAGATCATTGCCGATTCAGGTCGAGTTATCGGGTCGGGTCAGTTTTTGACAGCTCTAGTACTGTGACATGACATTGGGGCGTCCGCCTTAAATTCTCAACAACCCTCTTCACAACATATTAGGTCGGCCAGACCTAGGACTGTAATTCATATTTCTGAGCCGTCCGACCTGCCTCCTCCCAGCGCTCCTCCTTTTGGAATTCAATTGGACGCTGAGGGAGGAAAGAAAGATAAAGGCAAAAGGCCTATGGTGCCTGAGGGCCTAGAGATGGCCGAGCCAGGTCAAGGCTCGGTGGGTGGCAGCTTGGCCGAGGTGCCTGAACTGGACAAAGTGCTGTCCTCTAACTTTGGTTCGGCCAGGATTCTCGAACTACAGTCGGGCGAGCAGGGAGCTAAAAACACTGATGTCGGGGAGGCGGATGAGGATGACAATGCGGTCGACTTTGATGACCCGTACGCCTGCCCAGTCGGTTATATAGCCCTTTCTTTTCTTAACAATAAGTTTGAGGAATGAATTTGAGAAGTTCCTCATGCTTGGGGAAGAGTACCAGATACAGCCACCCAAAAGTTTTAATTCAGTGGTCGTTTCTGATGATGAGGGAGCCCAACGCCAGGGCTTCAATGTTTACAAGGGCGCCTTAGAGGGGGCCTTCACTTTCCCCTCCATCCATTTGTCTTGGAGCTGCTGGACGAAAACCAGATTACACTGTTCCAACTGGCGCCGAACAGCTGGGCCAATATCTTTGGGCACTTGGTGACT